TCAGTATATCACAATAGAATTATATGTTTTAGAGGCCACGTCAATGTCCAAAATGACTCTCTTTTTTCACAGGGGCGAGTATTATCTAAGTTTTCAATTTGGCATGCACACTTTTTGCCACCTATGGTGGAAATTACTTAATTATGCTTTTTCTTGGGTTATTTTGTATTGATGAATTAACCCTCACATAATAGTCTATTTGTGAACTAATAGCCTTTCCTCTTGCTTTTTCTCATTCAGCATTCATTTCGTAAGCAGTTTTATGGTTCAGTAGCTAAATCAGACTACGCCACAATGCGTCTTGGTTTTATCATGGTAAGCACCATTGGATATCAAGATAATGTTCTGTTATATTCTTTATATGTAAACATGCATCCTTTTGGATTTCAGACTCATTGTCGCGGGAACCCGAAATTTGATTTCCACAAATACATGGTGAGGGTTTTAGAGTCTGATTTTAAGAAAATAGTTGGTACAAGGTAATAATTCAATTTTAAATTTTGAGGGAAATTTGCTTCATGAATAATAAACTTAACCGTGCTGTTTTTGTCGCCTTTTAGCTGGCGCTTGTGGATCTTCGTGGTGATATTTCTGTTGCTCAATGTCAATGGTAAACCGTTATTTCAACCTTTGCAAAAAAAAAAAACATAGTTTTTTTCTGTTACTGTAAATTCTTCCCCGGAACTAGTTTGACCTTTTTAACAGGCAGCTAGGTCCTTTAGCAATATTTCAGTATTTATTCAAGATTCTCAAACTGCTCACGCTTCACTTTGTTAATCTGCAGGTTGGCACACATACTTTTGGATGGCTTTCCTTCCCCTTGTTGTAAGTGCAGACTTTGAAGCAAGTTCTGAATTATAAGCATTCAGGGACTAGGTGCTTAATGAAGGGCGTCTAATTACTTGTTGCAGCTTCTGTTAGCCGTTGGCACAAAGCTGGAGCACGTGATAGCTCAGTTAGCCTACCACGTAGCCGAGAAGCAGACGGCGGTCGAGGGCGATCTGGTTGTGACGCCATCAGACCAGCACTTCTGGTTCGGGCGGCCGCGGATCATCCTGCACCTCATCCACTTCATCCTCTTTCAGAACGCGTTTGAGCTCGCCTTCTTCTTCTGGATACTGGTAACTACTCCTACTAAGCATTACTACGACACACCGTTTCTGATTCTGAAGTGTGCTCCCTCCGATGCCCATGACTGAACGCAACGACACTGTGTAACTTTCCTTTTGAAGATGACGTATGGATTCGAGTCCTGCTTCATGGACAACATCGGTTTCCTGGTGCCCAGGCTCGTCCTCGGGTAATTCGCCATGGCCTCCCTCCAGTACAGCTCACAGGAATTCAAAGGGCAGCTGTACATGTTCATGTTCATGTTCTTCATTCTGACTCCTGCATCCATCCTTGCATGTACCTGCAGGGTCGTCATTCAACTTCTCTGCAGCTACAGCACACTGCCTCTTTATGCAATTGTAACCCAGGTGCGTGCGTTGATAGTTTTCTTCGTCTCGGTATCCGTTTGTGGTCGATGCACTTGTTATATACAGTATCCTTCAAACACTGATTGATGGGCTGTGCTCGATCAATCAGATGGGGAGCTACTACAAGATGGAGATCTTCAACGAGCATGTGCAGCACGGCGTCCTGGGGTGGGCAGAGAAGGCCAAGAAGAGATCGGGGTTCAAGGAGGGCGGCAGCTCCCCGACCGCCGAATCCATGCACGGCGAAGATGCGGCCTAGGATTGGAATGGTGAAGCCAACGGGTAGCTGGGGAGGACAATGAAGCAGAGGAAAGTTAAATCTGCCGTTAAGGGCATGTGCTCCCACCTCATGCATCTTTCATGGCAAAAACATGAGGCAGCAGTTGGAAACAGAGAGAGCGATAGTAATAACATGTTTCGTTTGCTCTACAGCAATGGCTCGTACGTATCATACTATCATGTGTGGTTTTTCTGCTGTAAAGCACAGAGGAGCTGTAATTTTTGCAGATAGCTTCACTCGCAGCAGCCGTAAAAGTGTAAAACACTGCTGGTATTATGGTATATCTAAAATTTTTGATCTCACGAGTAGTCAGTCATCTCATCTGTGCCCAAAATTCCTTAGAAGATCCTGAACTCAATAACGCTGCAGCGTTACCTTTTGTATTGTGACAATGGTTCTGTTTGCTTGGCTGATAAGCTGGCTGAAGAGTACTGTTGACTGATTTGTTGTGAGAGAAAAATAATATTCATTCGCTAAAAAAGTACGACTCGTACGCGGTGGTAAAGATAAGAATGGGTCACTCTGACCTCTGGCTCTGGGGGTAGCACGACAGCGCTACGATTCTCGCACGAGGCAAGCAGCAACAGCAACAACGCCTCTGGAACACATGAGAGCTGCGTGTCTTTGTATTACGATGAGACCAAACACTGGCGAGGTAGAAACAAAACTCATTAATTCAACAAGAGACGAATCTTCCAACATCATACCACTGTTGCCACAGAAATTCAGCAAGAACCAAAACTCTCAACGTCATTTCATTACTGCCACAAAAAATCTGCCACAATACATACTTCATCCTGCCAAAACATCATGTGTACTCTACGACAGTGGCTTGTAACCAGCATAGAATGTGAGGGTAGCTCATCTAATTGGGTGGGAAATGAAGTTATACATCTGACCATTCAGTTTCGAGTTCTCGTCAATTCAGTATTCGGATGTCTACTTTTTTTTCTTCTAAATGATTAACTAAAAGAACGTCAAGTTCTTCCTAGGTTGCCTAGTTGTTCTTTTAACGTACTAGCGTTTTTGCAGGTAGCATCACTCATAGCAGCCAGAAAAGACAGATGATATATTTATAATATCGATAATGGTCTGTGCAAGGTGTCCTTACGCCAGGATGCACGCTGGGCCCGTGGACCGACCCAACACTGCTCCTCTCACGGCTTCTCCATTAAAAAAACTGAACGCATTTGGCATTCCCCTTCCTCCTCGCCCGTTGCGCCCTTCGTTCTTATCCATTCGCGTTGATGACTTCGATACGGAGAGGTTGCAACAGTCGTGCCAGCAAGCTTTGCACACGCTACCAGCCATCGGCGCGTTGTCGAGCTCCACGCATGTGTCACCGAGCCGGCGAGCCTCCACGACGGATGTTTCGGCAAGCAGGCGAGGGGAGGAGCTTCGTGTGACACCCCCCCCCCTGTTGGCGAGCTGCCCGTGCTGGTACCACGCCAGTGTCGAACTCCGCAACGACGAGTATCCATCTGCCCAAGCAGCAGCAAGGTGACATTAATTGCGTTGCAACCGCATGTTGCAAGTGTATGTTCTAGGTATTTCAACTGTTTCGAACGGATGTTTCAAGTTTTTTATCTGGATAAAATACATCTAGATGTTGCATATATTGTAATACGTATAAAAAATATTTCATCTGTTTCAAACGCATGTTGCAAGTGTTTTATCTAGATGTTTATATGTTTCACACATATGTTGCAAGTGTATGTTTCAAATATTTCATTTGATCCAGACGTGTGTTGTATCAAGTGTTTCATGTTTCAAAGGTATGTTCGTAGAGTCAAAGGGACACGGTGAGTGATGGGGGCACACCCTGGGTGCCAGGGGATGGAGCGTGGCGAGCCGAGGGCCTGCGGACGGGACGAGCCGAGGGCTAGCGGATGGAGCGCGTGGCGAGCCAGGAGCCTGCGGATGGCGCACGACGCGCCAGGGGCCGGCGGACGGCCGCGCTGGAAGGCAGAGGAAGCCACACGCTGTGGGAAAGCACGGCATGTCGCTCGTATCAGATGGTTACTGTGCCTCGTATCGAACGGCTGGAGCTACGTCCGGACGTTCTGAGTCCGATCGTCCAAGCACTAGCCTCTCCGTTATAATATCTAGCCATTACAGTGACTCCGCAAAACCTATGGTCCAAATGCTGTGGCTGATAACTTTCATGATACTTCGTTGGTCTTTCCCAATCTAACCATGGAGGAAAGACAAAAATCAATCATTCGCCCTGTTCTCTTGAGCTTATTTAGAACTACTTTTCAGTTATGGAACAGCGTTTTCCCCCACAACATTTCAATATAAACATCAGCATAAGCCAAATTTCAGCATCAGCGAACACGGTGATTATCTTTGGAGGTGCAGCTCTCATCCCCTTGCTTGCTTGACACAACAAAACGGCCTTTTGATTGCGATGACACTGACACCAACAACACCAGCAACACCAGAACTTTTAGTCTCAACTAAACTGGTGTATAAAATAGAAATGAAATTCAACAAGACCCAAACCTTTCAACACCATATCATGTGCCAAAAATTTCAGTCGCCAGACTCCACCTGCCAGAAAAAAAAAATTGCATAATTTGGCGAACAACCCCTATCACAAAAGCCAAAGGTCATGTTCTGACACATCAGACCAAAAAGATTTTTGGCATTCGTCCCTAAAAAATCTTTGAACAACTCGATGGGTGACAAACTTCGTTCAGCAGCATCAAGCAGAACTCGACAGTGAAGAACCCAAATTTACTGAACAGTTATGATACATCACAACCATGATGGTCACTGTATAACGTTTTACACCATTCGATCAACTAGTAAATAATAGAACCACCACCGTCCATCAACTTGAGTCAATATTGTCCATAGTTCTGCCAGCAACAAGTACCCAGTAGACACAGTAGAACAAGCAGATCGGGCGGCGCTCAATAGCATCAAGCAGAACTCGACAGTAAAGAACCCAAATTTACTGAACAGTTATGATACATCACACAACCACGATGGTCACTGTATAGCGTTTTACACCATTCGATCAACTAGTAAATAATACAACCATCACCGACCATCAATTTGAGTCAATGTTGTGCATAGTTCTGCCAGCAACAAGTACCTGGTAGACATTTCGCAGAACAGTAGAAGGGGCATGATATAATCTGGACCGGAATAAACTCATACCAGCCATTCATTAAAGTTTCCATGTGCTGTCCCCGACGATGTGATCTTTGATAAACATGACATTATGACTGAAATCAGTATTCTTCAGCGGCACTAGCAGCACTCAGATCCACACTAAGATCCAAAGTCTGCAATGAGATCAGAGTTAGGATGCACATGTTTGATCCATATTTGCAACATAAAGTAGTAGATCGAGGAACTAGATTCATTAAATCTTGAAATCAGAGCATAGGCGACATTTTCCGTTAGCAAATATAAACAGTGGAAGTGTGGAACACACACAGTTCCGACTCTAGGTATCTAGATCTGCTCGAAATAAGGTGTGCTTCAAGTCATGATTAAACAATGCTCAGTTAGTTGTAACTACTCGATAAAAATATCACAGATACAGATTCACAAGTCTTAGTTTAATTGGACTTAAGTTAAAACTCAAAAAAAATTGGACTTAAGTTTGACCAACATTTTAGCACAGTACACTAACCAAAGACTACTGCAGGCTACATCACTCCAATCATAAAAATAAAGATGAAGTCCATGTTACCTTTCCAGTGATCATTGTATACATGTTCAGAACATCTGTTACAGTTGTCTCAAAATGTGTGGTGGCATCATAGCTCTGCACAGTGAAACAGCCACAAAGATTTAGTAGAATGTTTAAACAGTGAAGTTAAATGTTCATTCTATTAGCATACTGCACATCTTACCATCGAGACAAAGCAATTATCAAGAGATGGCTCATTCACTGGTTCATATCTGTCATAAATATCATAGAATATCTCATCTACAGAACCAAGTAGATCAATTCCAGGCTGTAGCTCAGACTGGGGATTATCAGTCTCTGCTTCTGCAGACACAAATGCAATGAACTTCCCTCTTGGCGCAACATTGTGCGTGTATGAGCAACAGAAAACATACCTAAAAAGAGGATATGGACAGAAATATCATAATTGTGTCAAGCATAGTGATCCACTTCATAGAAGTGTTTAAGTGAATCTAGTCATTAGTGAAATGAAAACTATTTCATCATGAGAGAAGGCCTCACATGTCTGATCTGCGTCCAAGTTGTTTCTGAGGTAAAATAATTTGAACCGAGTGGGACTCATTTGTATTAGGGATTGGGTGGCTCATGATAACAATTGCACGTACAACTCTACCGATCTTCCTAACCTGTGGAGAAACATTAGTGTGGCAAAAAAATGAGGAAAAAAAGTTTAGCAAAAACACCAGAAGGCCATATAATAACAAATACCTTCTCAAGATGGGGAAAAAAAGTTCAGTAAATTAGCTTGTCATCTAGCAAAATATAAGTATTTGGCACCAAAATGACCAAGCCCTTTAAAATCTGGATATAGAGAGTATTCACCTTGTTTTGTAAATACGAAGGATCACAGACCACCTTCTTGCACTTTGCAGTTTCACCTTCAGATGTGACACCACACACTTTCCCCTCCATATCGAATTCAACCTATAAAATGAGGCAACACAGGTAAAAAGGAGAGAATTTTCTAGTCATCCAAATTATGTGAAGAGAGGTGAAAAAGAAGACCTTGCACTCTGGCTTGTTTAACATGTAAGTACCACCATAAACAGCACTCAGTCGCGCAAAACCCTGTAGCCCAAAACAAGCACTGTATCATCAACAGGGAACACAATGCCCACTCAAGAAGTATTGTATTAACAGATTCGATTTTGACTGACCTGTGGTAGCTCACCCAGCCCATATAGTGGATAGATATATGGCGAGCCTCCTTGAAAGCGTGCAAGAGACTCTGCATATAGCTAAAAGCACACAATAGGTAAATATAACTGCACTATATAAAGGAATCATATTCAAACCATTAGGAAGCACGCAAGTTTATCTATAGCAACTAGGAAGCAGCTTTGGCCAAGACTTACTTTCATCCTTTTCACTGTATCAAGTGCCGGTTCATCAAGATAACGATCATCTCTATGAAGAGCAAGTGCATGTCCAACGAAATCCACTGTATCATCACTTAAACCATATTTTCTGAAATACACATGGAACATGGAGTTACCTTTGTGCAGAAAGAGGTTAGTTATTTGCCATTGCAAAATTGCAATCCCAAAATGTGTCACTGACATGTGGATCATGGGCCCACATGTCATGAACACATTAAGGGGATTGGAACATGCATAGGTTGAATTTTACACAAGAACATAAAAGCAACATGCAAAAGAAATGTCTTTGCACAACATATGGAATAAACTGGTATCCATGTATAATCTGCAAGGCAGCAAAGTTCACAATGGATCTTGTAGGAGCACAACCCTGAGTGGCTGAATGTAGCAAGAGTGCACTAGGAAAAACTTAGATGCTAACTACAACGAATTTAGTTCATAGGTACTGTAAGATGCAACACCAAGCAATGTCTACAATGGATTTGAAAATTCACAATAAGAATCATATTGGTGAGACACCCTAATACTACAGGTAAGTCATAACTCTGTTTTTCTATTAGAGTAAACTAGCAATGGAATGAGTATAATGCAACAAGCAGAGAGGTACTTACGCTATAAGTTCTCTAGTTGTCACCCTAGTAAGGTCCAATCCTTGATGTGTCCTTGGATCAGCTTCATTGTAATCTTGGACATAAATGAAGAAGTTCCTTGCTCTGCGCTTCTCAAATAGGCCCATCAAAGGGGACTTCAGAGCCTCCATATCAGTGGCAGGGACCTTGTAAATCTGATTGAATATAATAACAGAGAAAAGGCATGTTACCCTACTAGATCTAAGAAAATTTAGGAAACGTAATGTTGATGAAAAACAGGACGAGAACATAGACTGATGACTACCTTCCCTTTGCTGAAAACATAGCTCCCATCAACAGCTTTGAATGACAAGTACTTTGTCACATCAGTGTGGATGAGGGTTCGAACCAATGTCCCATTTGCCATCATAAACTGATATAACAGAAACAGTCTTTTTTTTAACAATGAATCAACTAAATCAACAAAAACATAATTATGGTACACGGTGGTATAAATAGTAAAAAAGGCAAACTATTAACAAATAAGTCATAAATCTAGCAGGAGTACTTCGCAGACTTCTTTTTACAAACAGTTCTGCAAGGGATTTTCATAACTTTCTGAAGCAAAAATCAATACATAAATCACATTAAAAGACTACAAATGATTCCTACCAAGTCAAAATAATGCATGATCACAGGGTTTGTGTTATATTTATCATCTCGCAGGTATTTCCACAAATATCAGCTGTGCTGATAAAGGTGCTAGAAAGACATGTTTGCATAGGATAAAGGCTGTTGGTGTTGCACCTTTGGCACCATGTCCACATTGTAGTCTCTGCTTGCACCTAGATGTGCTGGGGGCTTGTCTTCCCCTCTAAACCTCTTCCAGAGCTATTCCAAAAGGTAGAGTGAAAAGCATGTCAGTCTAAAAGTTCCAGCAAAATCAATCAAAAGCTTTGTTATGACAAGAAATCGATGCACAAATCTAGAGCCCTCTGTACTTAAACAGAAGTTGTAGGAGTTGCTTACCTGATTAAGGTTGAGCGAGGTGGAATCTCCTCCATAGTAGTCATTTCTGTCCATATGCAAAACCTACAATATCATCGAAACCACGTCCTCAAAAGTGAATTTCCTACACTTACATGTAGACTTCAAATACCACACCTTAAGGAAGGTTCTAAAAATGGCATAAGGATCAAAAGCAATTACAGACCAGGTGGCACAGAATAATTCAACTCATGCATACATGCATAATGCACTGAGAAAAGAGAGGTGTTTGCGAGGGGTTGTGGCAACTTCTGGATATCCTATGTACTCTTAAATTGACTCCTCATACAGCATTCTCATTATACATCCACTTAAAAGCTCTCTAATACAAGGCCCCATTGCCTGTTGGCACAACTCTAGCTCCAAGATTCACCTCAGATCTGGAGTTTGTATACCAAAATCAAGAACCTCGAGACTATAATTTGTCTAGAACTGAAAGAAACAACTCATCCGAACAACTTAAATGTACCCACAGCTCCAGATTCACAGATTTATGGAACTAGGAATACCTAGCTCCAAAAAGTCCACAGATTTATTGGAGCTGGAGCTCTGCTAAACAGGGCCAAAGCATCTCTACGTCATAAGGGTTCACTGTTTAATGAAAGGGACTTTTAATTCCATCCTTCTTGGTTTGGACTCTTGGTAGCTAGCTTATTAGAGACTAGTCGTGTTTGCATGGCGTCCGAGGTTGCCATGCTGCAAGATCAGCGCGCCACACTCGATTAGGCTGTTATTTGTTTCGTGACCAAACATTTGACTGTTGCACCTTGTTTGGCTGTTTGTTAGTGCATTTGGCTGAAAAAGCCCGCCAAGAGTGTGGCGGACAAACTTCTAGCATGGCCGCACTTGCGGCTTGGTGTTGTTGGGAAGCAAAACAAACAACCCTTAACCTCTAGTGTTCCATTGCCAGCCCCATGTTCTAGATGACCTTCTCCCACAACACCATCTACCATGCCCCTAGCTGGTACCAGCTGCAGGTGGCTACTGTCGCCAGCTCCACTGCTACCGTCAGCAGTTGAAGGCAACCTGGCATGCCCTACAACTCTGGTACGTTACCACCGCCGCCGCTTCCTCACCTTACCCATTAACAACCAGGCTGCAGGAAGCACCCATTCTACCAGCTGCCCCATAGTTGCTCAGCAGCAAACCTATGGTTACCAACACCCATGCTGCCCCTGCCACAGCAGCACCAATACCAACCACAGTTCAGCTTCCTCCTTGAAGCTGAGGCCAAAGGTCAGGGTGGCTTGGGAAACCCAGAAATCCTAACCCTAACTTCTATCATCGACATCGTTTTGCAAGTGACATGCTGCCACCTGTGTATGTGCAACAAATAGGGAAACCCACTTATTAGGATAATATGGAAATTGAAAAACATTGGTTTATGAAAAGCAACAAGTGTGGGCAAGCAACACAACGAAGTACAATTAGTTTGGGCAAGAATGGCCACCCTCCTCCCTCTCCTTAGTCCTCGCTTTAATTCGTATTACATGTTCTTCCACCGAATTGCTGGTAAACAGTACGATTAAGTGCCACTTCCCGATTAAGCACGGCTGCTCGCAGTAGAGAACCACTCCTTGCTAAGCTCAGACTATACTCAATTGCATCAATGGCTGGTCCGCCCCTATGGATCCACCAAGGGCTTTAAGGAGATGGGGGGCTCGTAGGTAGACGAACACTATAGATCAGCATACCACAGCAAAGCGAAGCATGCATCTAATCGCAGCGCGCAACGTCCAGATCAAAGGGGCTGGGGCACCCGATCTAGGAGCTCGTGTGCTCCAGCGACCCAGCCCACTCCAAGTGATGCAAGCGACCTTGGAGCACCGGACTTGTACGCGGACCCGAAATCCGAGCACGGCAGCTACGGATCATACTAGCGGCGGCTGTGGGGGAAGCGAGCGGGCGAGCGGCGGGCTCACCTTGAGGCCGTCGACGGAGAGGAGACCGCTGAGGATGCACTCCTTGAGCCCCGTGCCTAGCACGATCACGTCGTACTCCTCATCCATGGCTAGCTGCCAGTGAAGCGGCGGCGACGGCGGCGAAGAGGAGATGACGCGGCGGAGAAGAGAAGTGGAGTTGACGAAAGGAAGCAAACGGTGCGGCGCGTGGGGGGTGGGAATGGGATTTTGGCGTTTGGGAATCCGAGAGGGAGGAGGCGGATGCCGGATGCCGGATGCCGGATGCCGCGGATGCGGAAGGGATGCAGCTGGTCGCTTTCGAGCGCAGGTCCTCGGCTTACCAAATAATTGCGGCTCTCTTATTTTTTGTTTCCTAGCATACGTGTCGTTCTCACCGTGAGCCGGACCGGCCGACCCGGTCCAAAATTAACGCAGCTGCTGGCACTTGACTTACCTTCCAATAGATTCTCGTTAAGAGATTTAGATTGTACTCATTTCAATTATCAGACACTAACGTACCTGGTATTGTTATTTATTATCACTGCCTCCTAGTGTTAGCATTGGGTAATTTATGTGCCTGCTACCTTCCTTGGATTAGGATCCTTCCTCGGAATCGAATCCTAATTCTCTGTCACCCGTGACCACCAAGGTAGGCCCCTATCCTAGCATCAAATGTGCACCGCAACAGAACCAAAACGCACAGGGATCAGATTCCGTATCATCGCTCGTCGTGAGTTGTTTTAACTTGTATAAGCACATGTTCTGATGGATGAGAGAACTATCATAAGCCTTGTGAACAGAGCCGGAGCTTCCTTAGGGCCAAAGTGGGCCATGGCCCTACAAGATTTCTCAAGTAAATATTTAATTCTACCATTTAGTTGATAAGAAAATGTTAATATGGTCCTACTATTGTTGATCACATTTGATTGGCCCCTTCCGTTCAAGTGTTCAAGCTCTGCCACTGCTCGTGGAACACTCCCGGACCCTCTCTTTGTGAGATTGAGTTTTAGTTGTCAAATCAAAGTGTTGGGTTGATGATTTCGAGTTAGAGAGCAAACCAAATCTTGAGCACATATCTGAGTTTTATCAAGTATTCATGAAACATTTGTTGCTCTTGGAAATGAAGCTCCTAGATAGCTAGATGTCACCCGGTGAGCTCCCATGCTTGTGGTGAGCCACGGGAAAGTCTATGAGGATTGCGATCTTGCCGCAGAAGGAAAAAGATCAACTATGGAGAAGAGGAAAGTGGTTGTGAGGGACCTGGCATGAGCACGAACTTCGTGAGTTGCTCACTGACACCTCAATGGAGGCATAGGGTTCAAGTGGAACCCGAACTTGAGTTAAACAAATCATTTCTCTTATATTTTGAATTGCAATATTTCCTTTTCACTCGATCTACTTGGTTGTGTATGTTTTGTAAATGCATATACTCCATGAACTTGTTATTGGACATCTTAAACTTGTGTTTGATCTCTCCGTGCGTAGTGAACTTCATGTTATTCTGTTGTTCTGCAGATGTTTTACAACATTGTGTGGAAGTTCCACACTATAATAACTGTTGCAAAGTTTCACATACTTTTATTTCTTATTAGGTCGTTTGTCCACCTTTTGTACTAGCATTTTCTTCTCTTGATGTATATAGGTACGGGACACTTCTTTGGGTGCCTTTATTTAAAAAAAAAAGACCCACATCTAGGCGATACAAGAAGTCCCAAAACCATCTTGAATTCATAAAGCGGAACTAGGGTGCTTTGTGTTGCAGAACCGACCCATTTATAAGAGCACAAGTACAATGGCAGCCCGCAAGCGGTCGCACTGTCATACTTGAGCCCATATAAACCCGGTAGTCCGTCGAGTACTACGACGGGTCTCGATAAACGATCCACATACAACCAAGATCGTACATGATTCAACATACATGTCACATGTTACGTAAAGTTCACAGATATAGTTCATTCATCAGAGTACGAAATAAGGTTATTACAAACCAAGTTCAATAGATAGTAGCGGAAGCAAATTTAAGTTTAAAACTAGCATTTGCCAACTTAGTTCAAATACAGTGCTAACTCATGATCACAATCCATAAAAGCATATAAGAAGGATTATTAAAGATGCATGCCCAGGGCTCACTCCTCATCCACGGCGGGACAGAAGCAATGCTTGCAATAGCCATGATAACTATACCATCTGCAACAATGGGAATAAAACACTGAGTATGAGGAGGTACTCGGCTAGACTTACATGTCATGCCGTCATAAACCAAAAATAAATTGACTCCAAGGATTATGCAAGGCTTTATGAGTGGAGGTAGCTTGACAACTTTTTGCATAAAAACGATTAACTCAGTTATACAATTATACTTTGGTCATCAAGTTAATTATAGTTATTCATCTTTAGATTAGCAACTATCCTGTGCCAAACATGTGGTATATCATTTGATAGCATACAATAATAACCATAGCAGGGGTAGTAATTCATGTTTAACCGAACCATCATATTCCATAATACAATTACTATGATGTTGGGACTAGCCAAGTTTCTCACTATCCGGGAGAGACGACGATTTGAATCAATTTCAACCAGCTGGGAATTTATACCTAACACAAACCCAGACAGACCAGATCAACGGTCACCTTAGATCACCTTTGGTACAACTCAGGTACACATTTTGCGGGTTCAACCAATGCCGCACAATCAGAGACAATCAGCTGTCAGGATGATCAGGACTACCCTGCCCTTAGGCTCATGGTTGGCTCCTCGCACATCCTTACTACCATCTAGAGTGCACACTTTTATAGAACAGGGCCCGTCCTGAATTAAGCTACTCAGTTTCGCGGTCGGAACGAGTTATCCGGCCAGCTAAGTGATAGGCATGCGTTCAATCTTGTTAAAAGCGCCAACAACGGTACTGTCCTTAATCGGCACAGACAGAATCACATGAGTCAACCCACACATAGACTCTACCCGGCCTCTATTTACATTACTCCATGGTTCTTTTCCACGATAGCAAATATAGCCAACCGTGCTTCGGTATCCACTTATATCTCGCAGGTGACAGGAAATCACCTGACTTATACCGGTCTAAGCATGGCTAAGCGTATATTTGATCCTGGACCTACACAGGGTTAAATGGATATGTATCTGGACAAGGTAGTTCCATGCATCAAGTGTTTCCAATCAACTCTTATAACCTAATGCATCAAACATAAAGGACTCAAGTAGTATTTTGTAAAACAATGAGAGACTTAGAATACTCCGGGGCTTGCCTTTGAGGAAAGAGGTGGGTCGGTGATCTGGGCACTTAGGGAGCTCTTTGGGAGTCTGCTCCTCTTCTCCTGGAACTATGGCTTGAGGAGTCTCCTGCTGATCCCCTTCCTCTTCTTCGTTGAATTTCAACAGCGTTATCTCCTCGGTCGATCCTATATGCATGAGCATGGCATAAGATATCACGAATGGATATACGATGACACATGTAATATGATATAACGTGATGAATGCTTCCTCCTAAGTACTTTCAACAGCATGGTATGAAAGTAATAAAAAGTGCATCTTATTTTACTGAGTAGGTGCATATCTCTTCTCTACTACTTAAGCAAATACTTCGATAAATTATTTTTTAGACTCAACCGAAAAGACCATTATCAACATGAAATTATCCACTCAACCGAAACTATACATGCAGCCATTTATTTGAATTATAAAGCAATAATTAATTAGTTGCATACAACCAATTGCTTCTAAGCCTTACTATTAACATCAACAGTTGATATGTATCACAAGTACCATAGAAAACATCGTGGTCAAGCACAATTTATTTATTTACATGCCTTTATTAATTTAATTAGATAATTAGGTGAAATAACAAACATATATTAAATGTGCACAATAAATTCTCATAAAATTACAGTGGCTTCCAAGTGCTCTAAATAGACTACTATAAAAAATTCATACCATTTGAACATGTATAAAATCTCTACAAAAATGACAAACTAGCAAGGTTTATTTTAGTAAAAATAGTTAACCTATATAAAAGTGTCAAACAATAGATTATATATTTTTCTGAGCTTCCTAGTAGTGCCATAATATTGTACTAAAATTTGCATGGCAATTTGTTACTTATTTTTATCCCTATAATTTTTCTTAGAAAACACCATTTATTAATAGATAAATAGAAAGATCATATTTCAATCAAGTTTACTACAAGTTTATTATTTTTTCTAGCTAGAGCATGTCAACACAAGACTAGCAAAATTGGAATCACAATTTTATCACATCCCTAGCTCAAGTTACACATTTTACAAAATGGTAAATATTCAAAAAGCACTTATCTAGCTATATTTTATTCACCTAGAAAAGTATCATAAACAGTTATTCTTATATTTTTATAAAATATTACACTTCATAAGGAACCCAACAAAATTTGGTTCACCAAAATTGGACATTCCTAGCTCTAGATATGATTTTCCAAAGTTAGCTCAAAAATTTGGAAAATAAATAACACTAAACCCTAACTGCAATCGCTGACAGAGGGGACCCACAGGTCAGCGGACCCCACCCGTCAGTGAGCCAAAATAGGGCACGGCAAGTTTGACCGGCTCTATCTCACCGACGGCGAGGTCTCCGGTGGAACCGACCACACCGTCGTGCTCTACTCACTATCCCGCGTCGATTGACATAGGTGGTGGAGGCGCGGACGCACAGGAGCTACCTCGTCGTTGGCCATGGTGGCACGACGGCGCTGTGCTGAGGTGCACCGGCCATTACAGGCCACAGCAAGGCTTAGCGAGAAGCGCACGAGCTCCGCGGTGACTACACGGATCTAACGAGACGACCTAGGCTAGGTGGGACACGTCGACAAGGTCTGCCCGCGTGTGCGGTGAAGCAACGGTGAGAGCGCAGGCGGCACTGCGCATCGTGTTCCGCACCGGTGAGGCAACCATTCATAGTGAGGTCATACTACAAGCTAGACTACGCCCTAATCAGGCTCTAACATGGAGAATGTGAGGGAATGCATGACGAAGCCGAGCAGCGGCGAGCTCGCCGTGAAGGCGGCCATGGAAGCCGACCTTTCCGATGAGGACGAGAACGGTGATTTCGCCCTCACCGTA